TGCACACAGGTAGAGAGAGTCAGGTAACCAAAACACCACTGAAACACAGCTAGGAGAGGAAAAACTGACCTCAGATGGTTTTGATGATTTGGGTCATTTCCTGCTGCGAGCAACACCGATAAACATCTTTGCATCTTGGTGAAACACGCACACCAAGATGCTGTTGCCGACATAAACATGCTGTTCTGAATCGAAAAACATAAATTTTATAGTGCTTCTCATTTTTTGGACACTCTGAAGCTCATTGAATGTTCTGCACAAGTGTTGCTATTAAAAATCATCAGTATTTTATCTGGAAATAGTTGTTTCTGTATGACATTAGTTTGTGCTTTCTTATTGCTAAAACACAAATACTTCTTTGAGAACTGCAAGAATGGATTTATAAAATCATTTAGTGAATATGTTATAGTTTTTAACATATAAGTCATTTAGCTCAAATTTWATTAACCATGTGGGCATACCCGCTAACAGTTTCATGCTGAAAGCAATGAGCCAAGTTAAAAAATGACAAAGATCAKTGCTTTGTTTGACACAGCTACATGTTGTATTTACAGAAACCAGGGACACATTTAATGCCTGTTTCACGACTAAAATACTCAATTTCTCTTTTTGCATCAGAAGAACTTTCAAGGGTTAAAAAATATACAAATTGTTCAGCACAAATGTGATAATTTGAATTCAATGCTAACCAAACAGTAAGTAAATGCAAGAGGAGAAGAAAACCACAGCATTGCCACACCGACCTGACAATCAGCTGCGTGCTGCCTGATAAAAACTGCACTAATTTTATGGTGTGTTTGCTGATTCACTGGTGCAGGCTTTCTGCAAAAGCAAATCACTAAAACATTACTAAATTGATCTAAAAATCTTTATAAAATCTGCCTTTTGCACACTAACATGGCAAACTTGTATTTCGTATTGATAAATTCATACATTCATACATTGATAATATCCAGTTTTTATTTTGCACATTTTCCTTTACCACCCACAAATTACTGACTATTATTCCATACTTTACATGTAATGTGTCTTTCAATAAGTTATAGTGATCTTTATAGAACTTTTTTTGAAATGGACATTATTTTTATTTTTATCCTAATGTTATCACTTTATTCCTGTTTTTATCAATTATTTTCTGCTTTTATTACCATTATTTTGTTGTTACTTTGTGAAAAACATGGATGCTGCTGTAACAACCACATTTTCTCTGGGATTAATAAAGTCATCCATCCATCAGGGTGGCAGTGGATGAGTGGTTAATTGAGTCGTCCTTTAATCAGAGTTGGTGGATCAATCCCCCACTATTCAGTCATGTGTCGACGTGTCCCTGGGCAAGAAGATGAACCCCCACTGCCTGATTTAAAGCACTGATTCATCTCCATAGGATTATTTATATATGTTAATTTTGAACAGACAAAATAGAGTGCTGAATGAATGTGTGTGTGAAAGGGTAAATGAGGGCATAGATTGTGTTAAGGTTCGTTTTGTGAGYACTCCAAAAATTGGATGTGAGACAACAGTAAACAAATGACTCAGACAACAGATAAAAGTTCAGTGAGTTTATT